GATGATATAAGTTGTGGCAATCAGGTAAAGTCCCTGGAGACTGGAAAAAAGGTCACATCATTTAAAAAGGATGACCCAGAGAACTACCGACCTGTCAGTCTCACCTCTGTGCCAGGAAAAATCATGCAACAGATCCTCCTGGAAGCTACATCTAGACAGGCTGGAGAGTTGGGCAGGGAGGAATTGAATGCGATGTAACATGGGCGAGTGTAGAGTCCTGCATGTGGACAAAAACAACCCCAGGTACCAGGGTAGGTTGGGACAGATCTGTTGGAGAGGAGAGCAGAGGAAAGGGACCTGGAGTCCTGGTGGACAGCAGGATGACCATGGGCCAGCACTGTGCCCTCGTGGACAAGAAGGCAAAAGGCATCCTGGGGTGTAATAGAAGGGCTGTGGTCAGTAGGAGAGAGAGGTTCTCCTCTCCCACCACTCTGCCCTGGTGAGACCGCATCTGGAATATTATGTCCAGCTCTGGGCCCCTTCATTCAAGGACAGGGAACTGCTTGAGAGAGTGCAGGACAGAGACACAGAGATGATGGAAGGAGCAGAACATCTCCCTCACAAGGACAAAATGAGGGAGCTGGTTCTCTTCAGCTTGGAGAAGACTGAGGGTGACCTCGTTAATGTTCATAAATATGTAAAGGGTGAGTGTCAAGAGAATGGAGCCAGGCTCTTCTCAGTGACACCCAGTGATAGGACAAAGGGCAGTGGGCACAGGCTGGAACGCAGGAGGTTCCACGTAAATATGAGAAAAAAATTATTTAGGTGAGCGTAACAGAACACTGGAATGGGCTGCTCAGAGAGGTTGTTGGGTTTTCTTCTCTGGAGACATTCAAAACCCACCTGGAAGTTCCTGAGTGACCTAACACAGGAGCTCCTGCTCCGGCAGGGGGCTGGAATAGATGGATCTTTAGAGGTCCCTTCCAATCCCTGACATTCTGTGATTCCACACTAAGGCACATAGAAGGCAAAGAGGTGATACAGGAGAATCAGCATGACTTCACCAAGGGCAAATCCTGCTTGACCAACTAGCGGCCTTCTATGATGGTGTCACTGTATCAATGGACAAGGGAAGAACCACTGATGTCACCGACCTCAATTTCAGTAAGGCCTTTGATATGGTACCTCACAACATACTTCTCTCCAAATTGGAAAGGTATGGATTTGATGGGTGGACTGTGGACAAAAAAGGGGACGGAATCTTCAGCTGAGTCTGAAAGGACAAGGGGAAATGGTTTCAAACTGAAAGAGGGTATTTTTTAGATAAGGAAAAACTCTTCTACGGTGAGGGTGGCGAGGCACTGGAACAGGCTGTCTCATCATGTGGTGGATGTCCCATCCCTGAAGACTCTCAAGGAGAGGTTGGATCAGGCCCTGGCCAACCTGATCTAGCTGTGCATGTCGCTGCTCCTTGCACGGGACTTGGACTAGATGGCATTCAGAGGTCCGTTTCCACCTCTAAGGATTTTATGATGTCATGAGCAGCTGGGTAGATGAGGAAAGAGCAGCGGATGCTGCGTACCTTGAATTCAGCAAGACACTGAATTGACATTGTCTCCCACAACATCCTCATAGGTAAGCTTAGAAAGTGTGGGATAAACACTGGATAGCGAGGTGGATTGAGAACTGGCTGACAAGCTGAGCTCAGAGGGCTGTGATCAGTGGCACAGTCTAGCTGTGCCTCCCTTATGAGGAAAGGCTGAGAGACCTGGGGCTGTTCAGCTGGGAAAGAGAAGGTTGAGAGGGGATCAGTGTTTGCAAATACCTGAATCATAGGTGTCCAGTGGATGGGGTCAGATGATTTTCAATGGTGATCAGCATCAGGACAAGAGGCAATGAGTGCAAACTGGAACACAGGAAGTTCCATGCAAGCACCTTGAGGGTGTCAGAGCCCTGGAGCAAGCTACCCCAAAAGGACTGTGAAGTCTCCTTCTCTGGAGATACTCAAAATGCCCCTGGATGTTTTCCAGCACTAGTTAATGTAGAGAACTTGTTTTAGCATAGGCCGGACTAGACGATCTCCAGAGGTCTCCCTTCCAGACTCCTTGTTCCTGTGACTGTCCTGGAGATGTCCCTAAAAGCTCCAGCTCCAGCAGACAGCTGGAGAGATGCATCAATTTCTCTTATGGAACTGTTTATGCCTTCATAACAGCCTTGTTTTCACAGGAATCACAATTTTTTTGAACGTGTCATCTACTGATTCAAATTTAAATTCCTCTCAAGTGATTTATACCATTCTGTTCACTTCATGGAAAAGTCAATGTATGTAGATTCTAAAAGTCTAAAACTTAGTTCCTGAACTAAGGAAAACAGCCAGCAAGGAATGTTATCAAAGCTCCCTCAAAGCAGAGGGAAAGCTGGCGGTGCCTCTACAGAAATAACATCATTCAGTATTTTCAGCTAGGACTCCTTTAAACCCATCCTGCATCCTCCTCCAGTTTGGAGAGATGGCATGCAAAAAGCAATGCTCAGCCCTCTCCCATGACGTGCTGGTGACTCACCTGAGCTGAAGGCAGCACTAAATCCCTGGGCAATAACAGGGCCATTATATCAGTAGAAAAACAGGACGAGCAAGTGCAATTTTCTACAGAGCGCAGGCAACTCAGATCACAGAATTTGTCACAAGGCCATTCCTAATAGTATGAAATGTCTTCAGGAGCTATCACTCCCATAAAATATTTCTCTAGCAAACATACCTTAAGCTTTCTTGGCCCCTGTCAGCTGAATCACTTCTTTGTGCCTGCTGTAAGCACTGTAATCACTTTATCCAGGCCTCTTTCAAGACTTCCAAGTAGTTTGGCCTTTCTCTTCTTTTGGCTGCTCTCCACATCAGCTAGGTTGAGATCTAAATCCACAGAATGACACCTGTTACAAAACCAAATTAATTAAGTTACTTTTCCTCAGCAATCAGACTGGAGTTATTTCATATGCACTATTAGAATATGATCAGATAGAATGAAGAAAACTAAAGGAAGTGTTGTGTATTATGAGAGTTTCTGCTTACATGTCAGTTGAGCTTTAAGCTCAGAGATGCTTTTTAAAACTGCAGCACTCAGGGAAAATGGGACAAGATGGGATTTATGTTATGCAAAACAGGAATGCATTCTGAAGATGAGTGACTTCTAGTTTTAATTTTTTTTTCTGCTTTCAGTGTTTCCCAGGGAATACAGCAAGAGGTTTTAGGAAAATTTTAACCAAGAGAAAGGAAATACAGCTTGCTGTTGTGAACAATGCTTCCTAGGCTGTTCACTGATTAAGGTAGCACTGCTCTGAACCAAAAACATATGCGGATAACTGTACACCTACCTCCTCTCAGGAAGAATCTCCATTGCTGTCAGTTCATACGTATTTGTTGGTGCTTTGGGCTTCTTAACTGCGATGACTGTCGTGCACTGGCTCTCTGAAAGAAAGCATCCAAACCAAAGCAGGTACGTTTCTGCAGTAGAGGATTGACTTTTCTTCAGTCAGGATTTCTCACGATTAGCAATTACTTTTTTAAAGCCAGCCTCCTATCTATCTCTAGTGATAAAATAGGTTTTAACTAGAACAACAAGACTAAACAGAAGACTAAACAGTGCAGTACTGCGGGTTTGGAAGGGATGAGGACCAGAACTGGCTTCTTGTTCTGCCACGGGTCTCAGGACAAACACTGAGGAATTTACTATGCCAAAAGGTTGCATTCCACATCCAGCATTTTCCTTCAGGTGAAAGGTGCGAATTGCATCACCACAGTTAATACTTGTATAACCAAGATGTTATAATTGCAATATAATCAAAAGAGTAAGG